CCAGTAGACTTGCCTGGAAAATCCCATGAACAGAGGAGCCTGGTGGGCTACAGTCCATGGGGTCACAAGAATCAGACATGACTTAGCAACTAAATCACAACCACCACCTCTCCCCAGAGCGTGTATGGGGTGGGTGGGAACCAATGTTGCCCACAGCTGGGGGCCTCTACTCAGGCCTCCCTGGGAAGCAGGAGCAGGACATAAGAATTGGGGCTCAATGGAGGAATGCGGTGGAGGGGAATGTGAGTTCCCAGGCCTGGGCTGTTAGTGAAGTGACGAATGCCCCCCTCCTGGCAAAAAAGCAAACACATCTAAAACAAACAAAAAGAGTTATTTGTAAATGAACACGGCTCTCATTCAAGGATGGGCCCTTGGAGTTGAGGCAGCAGGCGGGGCTGTGTGGGCCTGGGCTCCCCTTACATGGGGAGGATGCCTCGGCTAGGGAGGAGGGGGAGGGGAAGAGGGGGAGTCTGAGACGAGGGGGGACCAGGAGGCACGGTGGGGGAGGGTGTTGGCTTCACGCTGGTACTAGTGTGATTTATCCCTAATGAGTTCTCAGCACATGGCTGCCCCCGGCTCACTCCGGGGGCCAGCGAAGCCTCCCGCGGGCCCCAGCCCGCCCCCCACTCAGAACAGCCTCCACTCGCTCAGAAAAGAGCCAATTTCCACACTGCACAGTCCGCTTCACTCAAGGGGAAATCGCATTTCCCTGGGAGAGCCGGAGGCAGCGCTTCACTCCCCAGCCTGGCCGGCTGCCACCGGGCACAGATGTGGAAGAGCTGGGCTCCAGCTTCTCTTCTCCCCCCAAAACAAAGCCCCACACCCCGAAGACCCAGCCCTTAACCTAAGTCTCAGGGCAGCGCCTCGGCACCTGAGGTTTATCCTTTGCCGCTCAGCGAGAGGAGAAAGGGTGATACTCAGGGAGGATGCTGGCAGGGAGGGGACCAGCCTTGCCTGCTTTCTGCAGCTTCATCCAGGAAGCCAGGCACCTGGTTTTGCTTGAGGCACTTAGAGATGTGGAGGTGGGGTTGCTGGTGGCATGTGTGTGTATGTACGCGTGCATGCGAGCAGGGAGCAGTAGGGAATCAGTATCTGCCATCAGAAGATAAAGACGTCCAGCATCTGTATCCTGAGTGCCCCCAGATCTAGAGGAAGAGGAGAGAGTAGAGAGAAGAGAAACAAAACAGAAGGGAAAGGAGGGAGGGAGGAGAAATGCTTGCGGCGTTTTCTGAGCAGATGCGGGACCTCTTAAGTCCTAACGAATATTCACTAGAGACACAAAATGTCTCGCAAAGGAGTAATTGCTTCGGACTCCCACAGAAGAGGGACTGGAACAGGATACTAGAAGAGGTGAGAAAAGGAAGGAGAAAGAGGTGAGGCAGTAGAGAGAGGAGGCGGCCCTTGTGGGAGAAGATGCTTTCACTTCCATCACAGCTGTGGGCAGCGTGCTGGTCACTCTCCGTCTGAGGGTGACACGCAAGCTGGGACAGAGGAACCATCAGATCCCTGGCAGGTAGAGGTGCTTTATGACCCTAAAAGCTGGAGGAGAGCTGCCGAGGGGTGGCCTGGGGGAGACTTGGGGCAGAGGATGGAGGCTCAGCTGGTATTCTCCGGTCCCAGCACTCCTTCCCCACCTGCAGGCTAACCTCTGGGTCCTTCATCCAGGACTGTCCCCACATTGGGTGTGTGTGGCCGTGCCCCAGGCGGCCATGAAACTCATTACCTCGCCACAGAGCTACAGGAGCCTGAGGTCTCTGAAGAAACCTGGCCACACCCTGCTATTCAAGGCCTTAGATTAGGATGCAGATTCAGCCTCAGATTAGAGTTCAGGCAGTGGTCTCAGCTCCTCTGAATGACCTTGAAAAATCCAGGCACCTCTTGCTCCCAGTTTCCCCAAGTGCGAAACGAGGCCAACATCCAGAATCGGAGACAAAAGTGGTCCTCGGGGTCAAAAAGAGTCGGACACGACTGAGCGACTAAACAATAATGCCAAGAATATTAAAGAAGTGACAGGAGGGCTTGGAACCAGCCTAGGGGCTGGCCTTAGAGCAGGACTCCCACCTACCTCCACCCCCAGGCCACGGGGCAGGAGCCAGAGGGTCACAGCAGCTCCAGCCTACCTTAGACAGATGGGTTCTGCTCCACCCTAACTGCTCTGTCTCCCAGCAGGAAACCCACCCACATGCAGGGGCTGCCTGGCCCACACTGACCCCTGAGCTCCAGGCATCCTGGGCTGGCCTGGTGTGTGCTGGGAGGGTACAGGGTGCTGGAGGAGCCAGGGTGAGGATGACAGACCAGGGAGAGCAGCCTGGAAAGCTGAGAAGGCCTCTCCACATAGGTAGTGAAAGGGCTGGTTCCAGGGCACAATGCGGGTTGGGGATGGGGCGGGGTGTGGTGAGACTTGGCTCTCTCTGCCCAGGACCAGGTCTTCAGAGAAACTAGAGGCCCCTACTCTGCTACAGAGTAGACCACCCTCCCCTACTTCCCACCAACTGCCTGTAGATGCATCCCACATGCCCCAACCCAATCCCCTGTGGCCACGCCCCTTTCCTCCCATCCTTGTCTTCACGCTCCTTCTTCACCACGGCCTCCCCATGAACCTCCCCAACTTGTCCCAACACTGCCCCCAAAGACAGGGCACCTCAAATCATCTCTCTCCCCCAGCAAGTGTGTGCACACGCATGCACACAGTTGTGTCTCTTTGCAACTCTGTGGATCGTAGCCCACCAGGCTCCTCTGTCCATTGGATTCTCCAGGTAAGAATACTGGAGTGGGTTGCCATTTCCTTCTTCAGGGGATCTTTCCGACCCAAGGATCGAACAAGGGTCTCCAGGGTCTCCTGTGTGCACTGCAGGCAGAGTCTTTACCATCTGAATCACCAGAGAAGACCCTGACATGTAGATAGCTATATTTTCTAAGCCCCTGGGGTTTGACCATGTACACAATGTCTGCAGAGGTACTGGCTGGGACCCGCTGCACTTCAGCCATGCCACATGCCCACAGACACCTGCTCTGAGCAGCATCCTGGGAGGCTCAGCTCACCTCTGAGAAGAAAGGGGAGAGCTGATCCATTGTCACCCAGCAAAAGCACCACCATTCATTCTCTAAGCCCTGTCATTAGGGGCTTAAAGAGGCTGCCAGGGCACCAGTGTTCCCAGAGAGGGTTTGGGTATGAATAGAAAGGGTCGCTCTGCAGACTCCCTGGGGCACTGAGCAACTCAAGGTGGTTCCTGGGTGGGGACTGTCTTGGGAAGCTCAGGAACCCAGAGATTTGGGATCATGAAGAGCCTTAGATATAATGGGATTCAGTCCTGCTGCCATGTTCGAGGCTAGAGGGAAGTCCTGTTATTGAAGAACAAGCCTTTCCTCAGATCCACAAGGAAGACATAAGGACTGGGTTTCTTCGTGGGTCCACCTTTTCCATGCTATCCTCAGTGAGCACTCCTGGCCTCTTCGCTGGGAGAACCAGGGGGGTCAGAGTCTCTGCCCTCCCAGCCTGAGAGTCCCTGGGGATGAGGGGTTGTTGAGGAATCCCCTCCTCTGTCAGACTCAGCCCCAGGTGCTGTTTGCCCAACTGTCAGCATTGTCCTGGGCCTGACCCCCGGCCCTGCTCCAGCTGGGTCCTTCATGAAGAGGGTCCACACAGACACCAGGCAGCCGCTGGTGGGATGAGCATCCTCTTGTGGACAGAGCCAGCCCTTGCAGTCACCACTGTATTTCCCACCTTGTTCTGTGGAATTTCACAGAAGAGGGTTGTTCTAAGTCCCCACAGTAACTCCCTCACCCCTTCCTGGCCCCAGCTTCTTGACTACCCAGTCTTACCAAATATTTCACGTGCGGTCGCTTGAGTAATGTCCAACTCTCTGCAATTCTATGGACTGTAGCCCGCCAGGCTCCTCTGTCCATGGGGTTCTCCAGGCAAGAATACTGGAGAGGATTACCATTAATTCCTCCAGGAGATCTTCCCTGGGATCCAACTCAAGCCTCTTACATCTCCTGCATTGGCAGGCAAGTGCTTTACCACTAGCGCCACCTGGGAAATTCTATAATATTGCCAAATATTGGGTTGGCCCAAAAGTTCATTTGGTTTGGCCGACCCAATACTTAGGAACCAAGCCAAAAGATATCAGACTCTCAGGGGGCAGTCCCAGGATCTCCCTTGGGTCTAGAACCCCTGGCATCCCTGATGAGTGCCCGTGGTGCTGAGCCGAAGTGTTGGACTTAAGCTAAGAGGTTTTGATGCTACTTCCTGCCTCAGGCAAGTTATTTCATTATTTTCTGAGCCTCAGTTTCTCCATATGTAAAATAGGGTGAATCCAGGTTCATTTATGTGAGGATCCCTTGAAGCTTCCAGTAGCTCAGACAGTAAAGAATGTCCCTGCAATGCAGGAGACCTTGGTTCGATCCCTGGGTCGGAAGATCTCCTGGAGAAGGGAATGGCAACCCACTCCACTATGCTTGCCTGGACAGTACACAGACAGGGGAGCCTGGCAGGCTACCGTCCATGGGGTTACAAAGAGATGGACATGACTGAGCGACTGACACTCTCAACACTTTCCCAGGCAGCTGAGCCCAATAACTGTCTTCTCCCTTCCCTCCTCTCACACCTCAGGGATCCTAAGAGCTGTTTATGCAGGCTCCTGGGTGGAGCTGTTCCTGGATCTGTCACCAGCCTTCCTGGCTAATTCTTTGGCTTCCTGTAAGTAACAGCGGCCACCACCTGTGGGGAGTCTGTGATTGGTCAGGCATCAGGCCACGTGCTTATTTTCTGCTCTCATTGACTCAGAGATGGAACAATCAAAGCTTGGGGTACGTGGTGTGCCTGGCGTCGAACATCTCCCTGGGGCAGAGGGCGAATGCTAAGTCAGAGTTCTCCTGGACAATAGTGTCCTTTCAACACGCAGCCCCAATACAAGTTCATTGGCTGCTGGGCTCTGAGGTTTTCTGGAGAAGACCCTGTCCCAGGGTACCTCCTACCCAGTCAACCCCAAAGCCAGAGACCAAGAGCAATGGTTTATTGAGTCATATGGCAATGGTGGGTTGTCTTTTTAAAAAAGAAAGAAGCATCAAGGAGAGAAGCCGGACATGGCAGGGAAACGACACTGAGAGGAAAGGGGTAGTTTGCTTAAGCTGAGGCTCATTTACAGTATTTACAGTCAGGCCTGGTGGGGGTGGGGGGGAGCGGGAGCTGTGGGGCCCAGAGAGGGAAATGTGGGGGTGTTGTGTCAGGGTCTCTCGGTAGCTGTGGGTTTGGCAGGGCTGTTGGGAGCAGGAGGCGGGGTCCCCAGTTACGTGCCTGGTTCTACTCTGGGCAAGGCTGCACCCCACCCCCCGGAGCCCGGGGCGGGGTGGGAGGGGTGCTTTGGAATGTCTGTCTCCAGCTGTAATGGGCTGGTCTGGCTGCCAAGGAGAGGGGTGGATCCTCCGCAGCAGGGGAGCCCCTGGGATGGAACTGGTACATTCACAGCAGCAGGGAAGGGGAAGGCAGGTGGCTGACCACCCTGACCACCGGGTGGAGCTCCTGGTTGGCTGGACCCAGGGTTGAGCCCGTGACCAGGAGGGACGAGCAGGAAGAGCCAAGCAAGCTGTGTAGAGCAGGCAGTGCCTCCCAGGGTGGTGATGGGGGTGAGCCTTCGCACCCACTGCGGCTGCGGGCTGGGCGGACGTGCTCACAGCCCATGGCCGCTAGAGCGTGTCAACAATGGAGCCACAGAGGCGCCTCCGTGTGCCCCCGAGCCCGTGGTGGGCCCCAAGGGCCATCCCTCTCCAGCCCTCTTCTCCACATTTCTCCTCCGATTCTGTCTCTTTGGAATGGGACAGTCTGTCCCCCTGGGACTCTTGTCCCTCATTAAGGAGTCCCGGAGGACCGGTGGCGTCTCCTCCACCATCGTCCTGTCTCTCATGGTTCACTGAATCAACCACACAGGGAGGGAGCCGCAATGCTGGATTTGTGGTTATTTTTCATGTAATAAATAAAGATTCCTTTGTGTGACTCTCGGGGGCCTGTCCCAGGCTGAGTCCTCCCGTGGCTCGGTCGCTCCCACTGTCCCCATGGCAACTACAGATGGTCAAAGGCCGTGGCGGTGGTGGGCGGTGCACTCGGCCTTGATGTGGAACTGTAATAATATGGGGAACCTGGACAAGTTAAAAAAAAAAAAAAAAAGAACAACAACAACACTGCCGGTCAGAAGAAAAAAATTGCACCATAGCCTCCCCCTGCCTCTGCTAACCTTTAAGACAGCGTGAGTTAATCATTGATCCCTCTGGCCTATCTGATCATCAAAGATTAACTCCTCTCTGGCCCTTATTTCCTCCTTCTCTGGCTTCACCTTTGAGTTTCTGGCCAGAAGGAGAACAGTGGCTTCTTGCCCCTCTCCTCCCCACGATTCCTTTGACCTTCAGCACCCTTGCATTGAGAGAGGGCAAGAAAGAGAAGTTATGACTGGAGCCCTGAAGAATCAAGTACTGACTGGGGGATCGCTGGGGTGTTCCCCGGCCTTGACCAAAAGGCACAAGATCAGAGTGTCTTAGGAATCAGAGGGGATGGAAAGCTGACTGCTCAAGGGATATGTGGATTTGAGAGCCTCCTCCAGGCTGCTCTGCACACCCACAGATGGACAGCCTGGGGAAGTTCCATGGGGAGGGCACATCTCTATGCCCTCATCTTTCCGAGCTGAACTGGACATAAGCGTGGCTTGAACTCACAGGGCCAACAGAGTCCAAGTCAGTCAGCCTCCTAGTCATTCCTGGAACATGAGGCGGTAACAGGAGGAGAGAGGGATGTCTTGGGAATGGAGACCCCTGGGGTCAGCTGCACTGCGCTGCGGCTTCTACAGGGCTCAGGTTTGCTCCCAGACCCTCCAGGTCATGGAGACTCCAGTGGGATCCCTCACGTTCATTTATGGGGCTTGGTTTCCTGATTTCCTTGTTTTCTCAACCCAACCCCAGCCCAGGGGGAGAGGGGCCGATGAGAAGCCCTGCAGTCCAGTTCATTATCTAGACCTCCATACTGAAGGCTGCTGTCCACATCTCAAGCCAAATATTAGGAATGTGGTGGAACAGAGGGTCTCTGTGTAAGGGCTCTGGGGCTGAATCATGAGTATTTTCAAGCCACTTAGATGTTAATGAAAGCGACAGGATGGCACTGTTTGCAATCAGCACGCTCCCCAGCAGGAGGTTTGCTGGCACTCCCCTAGGTACCCTCCAAGATGTGGAGGGGCATAGAGACGTGCCTTCCCCGTGGAGATGTCCCTTCCACCCCCACCCTCCCAAAGCCTGAGCCCTGAATCTTACACAAAACAAAGATTTCACAGACATGGGCTCAGGACAGAGAAGTGAGTGATGCCCAGAAGTCTCCCCTCTGCCTCTCCCCCCAGACAACTTGGTACCCTGCCTTTCCCTGACCTGCTCGGATTATGGATAACATCTGTCTCTCCAGGCCCTCCATCGAACTGGGGATTCCCAGCTCTCGGACCACTTTGGTCCAACCGAGCACCCCCACCCACCCTGCACAGTGGAGGGCCTGAGAAGGCCCCAGAGGGAACTTACTCAGTAAGCTGGAGTTGGGGAAGCGCCAGGCCTCGCTGTAGGAGGAGTAGGGGGTGTGGCCGTAGGCGTTGCCAGAGTATTCGCTTCCTGTGGGAGGCACAGAGGTAGGAGACCCATGAGGTGGATTCCCGGCCTGAGGGCTGGGGCTGGGGGATGAGGGTCCGCAGGGTGGACACAGAGCGAGCCCTGGGGGACAGGTGGGGCCAGGGCAGGGACAGTGGGAGCTCAGGAGACCCCTCCAAGAGCCCTTTGGAGGCTCCTCCATCTGCATTCCTTTGGGGGGTGGTGCCTTTTCCGTCAGGGACTGGGGGTACCGCCCTGACACGGACCAGCTCTCACAGGAACCCCAGGAGGTAGATGTTATTATGATTGCCCTTTTTCCAGATGAGGAAACAGAGTCTTGGGGTCTGTAGCTCACACAGCTGCAGGGTTTGGTGGAGATTGAAAGCTGTGCTGTGACTCCAGGTGGAGTCAGGTTCTAACCATTTCTGATGCTGTCTGGACCTTCTGTAGAAAGGTCTTTCTGGGAGGGGTCAATATGAGTGAGAGAGGTTAGTGGTCAAGGAAGGACTCAAGGGAGTATAAACTGTGCTCTTGTTGTTTAATCACTAGGTCGTGTCTGACTCTTGCGACCCCATGGACTGCAGCCTGCCAGGCTTCTCTGTCCACAGGATTTTCCAGGCAAGAATACTGGAGTGGTTGCTATTTCTTTCCCCAGGGGATCTTCCCAACCCACGGTCTCCAGTAGTGGCAGGCGGGTTCTTTGTAGCCTCCTTCAGTATGCTTTGTTAGGGAGGAAAGAGTGTGTGAGTGTGAGTGTGTGTGGTTGGGGATGGGTGCAGAGGATGAAAGGCAGAGAGGTGAGGGGCCTGGAGAGCATGTGGGTCCTGAGACTTCCTCTGAAGAGACTCTTGTCCCATCTCAAACCTGCCACTTGAAGAAAACTCAGCATACGACTTACACAAAGCAAATCAGATCACCTGTTTCTGTGAGTGGATTCTTGGCCTCACTAGAATTACTTACCAAAAAAAATGACTTAAGAATTCCCTTAAATAACAAAGCAGACCACCGCAATTACTGTAGGAACTCAGAGCTTAAGGTTCGCAAAGCACTTTCTCACACTTGATGCCCCTTTATTCTTACAACTGGGAGATGCCTATCAATAGTGCCAGTTTATAGAAGAGGAAACTGGACTGCAGCATGAGTAAGGAGTTAGCCTCAAATCCTACAGATGGGAAATAGCAGAGGAGAAGTTGACTTGAGAGGTCTTCACTCGAAATTCCAGATCATCCATTTATGCACTTGGGAGACAGTTCCATCCACAAAGCCAGGTTCCCACCAATCCTGAACTCCAATGAATGTCCACACCGCCCTCCAGAATCTCATCTGCTGTTACAAGTCAAGTGCCTTCTTTGGCTCCTGAACTCATTCCCAGACTCTGGGAGTGGGGCTCGAAGCTGCCTAGCTCTGGAGCCGGCCTGCCTGGAGCCAAATCTCTGTGCCCCACTTCCGAGTTGTGCAACCTTGGACAAGTAACTGAGCTCTTCTGAGCCTTAGTTTCCTTATCTGTCAAATGGGGCAGATTATTGCCCCTATCTCATGGGGTTGTGGGGAAGGTTCAATTCTATAACATACATCAAATACTTATAGTACCACTCTTGGAACAGAAGAAGCAGGCAAGGAATGCCAGCATTTACGATTTCCCCATTAGGCAGGCACAAAAATAAAGCTCACTAGAGCCCCACATCTGTCATCCAACCAGTGGTAAAGCCTGAGTTGGGGTCAGTGGGGGCTGCTTTCCTGCCAGAGATGTAGGCAATTGCACAGGAGGAACGGAAGCAAGGGGGAAGAGCTTGAAGGAGAGGAAGGCTTCTGGGTCCTTGTCCAGGACATTAGTGACAGGCAGTAACACAGGAAGTTCATTAGAGGCAGGGATTAATCTAACACAGGTCAGGTGAACAACAAATACATGGAAGAGAGAGGAGGGAGGAAAAAACGCCAAGGGATTAAAAATAGAAAGAAACCAAGAAATGACCTCATCCAGCCATTCATTTCACAAATGAAGAAACTACAGCCCAGAGAGGGAAAGGTATTTGCTCCAGGCCACATGTTCCCCTAGAACCTGCTAGGACCCTGGCCTCGAGTGCCTACTCCAGTGCGCCTTCTTATATTCACAGTGTGATCTGCTAGCGTCCCCCACACCTCCTTGGTTTCAGTGCATCCTTGGAGAAAGCCATTTATACCTTAGCAATGCTCTCAGGCCTTGACCCTACCCCAGCCAATGCCAACCTCAGCCAGCTCCAAAGGACAGGAAGAAAGGTGGAAAATCCAATGTGTTTGCCCCTCACTGTGTCGCTTCTTCATGCATTCGCTCACTCATTCATTTATCCAACACACACTTACAGGGTACCTATGTGCTTTGGTCACATAGTAGTTGGAGGAGAGGATGGAGCTGAGGAGGTGGTACACCCCTAGGTGCAGCATCCTTTCACCACCAGGTCCGTCAACCCACCTTCACCCACGGCAGATGAAATGTCCTCGCTCTCATGAAAGGCCAACCTATCCTCTTTGCTCTGCATCCTACCCCACTCATCTTTCCATGGATTGGGCCCTCATAATTTATCCCTTCTCTTCACTCTTTGTCAACATCTCCCTTTCCAATTCATCATTCCCCTAGCCAGCCAACAGGCTCTGCTATTTTCTCTTTTAAAAATCCTCTTCTTAGCCCACATTTCTCTGCAGCTTGCAGCCCTTCTCTGCTCCACGGTCTCTGCCCTCACCTCCTCATCCCCCCTCCAGTCAGGCCAACGCTGATCCCTTCAAATCCCTACAACCTCTACCCGATCACTCCAAAGGTCACTTGGCTGACTCTGATTCAGTTCATCACTCCCTCCCTGCCTTTGGGTTTCATGGCGCCAATTCCCCTGGTTTGCCACCTAACCCACTGGCCTTTCCTGCTCTCTTGCCTTGTTGGTTCCTTCTCTGCTATGTCTCTAAATGTTGAAGGACCCCAGAGCTTGGTTTGTGAGCCTTCTGTGATTTTCCATCCACATCCTCTTTCTGGTGACCTTGCATAATCCTTTAAGCATTAAATAACAGTTCTGCACAATGGCTGAAATGTATGCCCTAGTCTTTCCTGACTATAGATATACATCATGTGCCTACTGATGTATTAAACTGGTAATCTAGGAGATATCTCAATCCTAATATGGCCCAATAGAATCCTTGACTTCCATATGCCAAATACTCTACCGTTTCCTCTTCTGATCTCCCATATAATACTTGCCGCCACCACCCATGCCTTTTCCCAAACCTCAAACCAGGGACTTATCCTTGTTTCCTCTGACATTAAACCCCTATGGCCAATTCACTAGTAAGTGCTATTGGCTCCACCACCAAAATACATTATATCCTCAATGTCTCTTTTCTCCTCCTTCCCTTCTACTTCCCTGGCGCATGCCACTGTCATGTCCTGTATCAACCACTGCAATTATCCCTCCCTTAACTAGTCTCTAGGTGTCCTCTTCTGACTGTCTACCATCTGATTTCCCAGTGACCCAGGTAGTCTTAAAATTTGACCCCCCACCTCCCCCCCACCAATATCTCTTCATTCTGTAGTGCTTTTCCCGCTCACTCACTGTTCTCAGTTATACTCACACTCTTCCCATGTGTAATCATACACTGCTAGTTCCTACCTTAGGGCCTTTGCACTTGCTGTTCTTTTGGGCTGGGGATGGTCTGCCCCAGTTTATCACTTGGCTGATCACTCTGAACACCTTCTCAGAGAGACCTCTCCTGATCACCCAATCTAAAGTAGTTATCTTCTCTCCCTGAAGCTCTTTATTACATCATCCCATTTTATTGTCTGAATCAGAGCTTATCGCTATCTGAAATTATCTTGTTGATTCAGTCCTTGTTTACTATACTTTTTTCTCCACTGTTAGGCTGTAAGCTCCATAAACAGATGGACCTGGCTTGGTCACTGCATCCCATAACAGAATCTCAACTCCTATTTGTTAAGTGAAAAGTGGTAAAATGGATGGAAGGACACAAGGATGGTTGAAAGGGTGGATGACAGAAGTATGGATAATGGATAAAAGAAAGGGTAGATGTATGAAAAGGTGCATGGAAGGATGAATAGAGGGATAAAAGGTTGAATAGATGAACTGAAGGATGGACAGATGATGGAAGACAGATGAATGGATGGATGGGAGAAAGGATGGGTGAAGAAAAGATGAATAGAAGGTTGAATTGATAGAAGAATGGATGAATGAATTGAAGTATGGATGGATGAATGGAAAAATGGGTTAATAGATGAATGGATGGACACATGAATAGAAAAATGGGTAGATGGAAGAAAGGATGGATAAAGGAAAGATGAATAGAAGACTGAATGATAGAATGATGGAAGGATGGATATGAATATGCATGGATATATGGGAAAATGTGTGAAAAGATGGATATATGGAAAGATGGAGAGATAGATGGGTGTATCCATCTATCAGAGTTGTTGTTCGGCTCCAAAGCTGATAAAAGGGCCATTAACAGTATTAACGGGGCAGGAACAGCAACAACAACAATTAGAAGGGAAAACAGAAGATGAATGGACAAGAGAAATCCATGCCCTGGTCTTATTCCTGTGTTGCTCTCTTATAGCTCGTGTTGTTACTTCTGATGTGATGGGAGGCAGCGTGGTGTAGCAGAAAGAACGCAAGATTTGAAAATCAAAAGAATAGTGTTTGAACAACCCAGCCACTTAGTATGATTATGATTATGATCCCCAAGCACACCACTTTGCTTTTCTAAGCTTGATTCCTTATCTACATAAACCTGAGGTTATATCAATGCTCCAGTCTTATGGTGAGGATTCAAAGAGAAATAAACTAATACTTATGAATGGCCAGGCACCCAGAAAATGCAAACAAATGATCTCCTGTCCTTCTACAACTGACTGAAGACTGTCACTGGCATGCCTTGCTGTCAGCATTTTGTATCTATCTAGCACACAGTAGGTGCTCAATGAAGTTTTGATTTTAATGGAAGAAATCCCCCTTCAATCAATCAGGAGATTGTACCCACTGGTAAGACATGGACAAATACTTTTTCTACCAAAAAAATTCCTTAAGAATTCATTTGCACCACCGAGTTACTAGGAACCTAGGGATGCATTTAAATAACACTGCATTTTCTAAAAACTGATTTGCATGAAACTTACTGGGTGCCCATCCACCTTGCCAGGCAAACTCCCTCTTGGAATTCACTTGTAGTCCATGGTGTACTTGTGTTATTATTATTTTTTTTTTCTGCAACACCCACTCAGGATGAGGTCTTTAGAGAAACAACCTGGGGGACTTTGATGAGAGGCCCCAGCCTTCCAGCTACCTCACAGGTCAGACTCTGGGCCCCAGGAACCCTGTGCCCTGGGCCTGCCCCCGGGAAATGATTCATAATTAAGAGAAAAGCCCTGGGCTTTCTGTCTCTTCCTCCTCCTCTAAGCAGGCGGCAGGGAAAGGTGGAGAGGTTGGAAGGGGGATGGGGGCACCGACTGGAGCCTGGGATTGTGATTGAGAGGCCCCATTATCCACACTCTTAAAAAAATAACCGAATCTTTTCCTTTTTTATCTTGACCAATCTCATTTCACGCTCCAGAAGAGGAAGGGAGGGAGGGAGGGAGTCTGGGGCCAGGAGGGAGAGAGGAGTCAGTATTCTGTATTTTCAACGCTGCATTAAGCACATCGCCACGGTAACCAGGCAGCAACAAGTGCCAGCTCAGCGGGTTCCCAGGGAGCCCAGGGCCTCCTTCCCTCCCTTGCTCCTCCATCCCCTCCCTCTGCCCAGGAGCGCCCAGCCCACCTGCCTCGCACAGGGCGCCCACAGTGGGTGGCTGGTAAAGAATAACCCCTGCCGGCGGGGGAGGGGAAACAAGCCTGGGTGAAGGCCTTGAGTCTCTGGAGTCAGAGGCAGGTAGGCTGGTGGGGAGAAGGGGGGTCACAGATGTCCTGATTCAGAGCCCCTTCCAGGAGCACCAGGTCCTCAGACCTCTCTGGGCAGTGCAAGTGGCTCTGAAAGTGTCAGTTGCTCAGTCAGGTCTGACTCTTTGCAACCCTATGCACTGCAGCCCTCGAGGCTCCTCTGTCCATGGTCTCCAGGCAAGAATAGTGGAGTGGGTAGCCATTCCCTTCTCCACGCAGGGATTGAACTCAGGTCTCCTGCATTGCAGGCAGATTCTTTACTGTCTGGAGCCACCAGGGACCCTATGCATATGGCTCTATTCTACCCTATCCATGCTGAGGTTCTGCCTGTAGGGTTCCTAAAAGAATGAGATGCACTCAGAGAAACTCCCATTGTTCTCACTTGTCCAGACCTTGATACCCCAGGTCACTGCTGGGTGATGATCACCCTGTCAGACAATGAGACCCCCAGGACTGTTGGGGAGGATTCCAGGACTGTCCAAGTGATAATGGAGACACACTCCCTGCTCATCTCACACTCTAGTACTTTTGGAATACTCAAGCCATGGGTCCTGACTGTGCAGGGTTGAATGAATGTGAGGTGTGAAGGATATATTTCAACCATTTTCATCACCATCATCACCAACACCATTCACACTCATATTTTTCAGAAAGGGTAAACCAGGATTCACCAGAGGTAAATAACTGGGAGACCACGGGGTGCTTAAGAGCTGGGCTTAGGTTTACCTCCACTGTTCTGATGGCTCCCAGAGGACTCTCTATGAAGGCTTACTGAATCACTGGAAGAAATGGCAGAGCTCCGATTTGAATGTTAGTCTGTCTCAGCCTCTCCCTTTTCGTCATCATGGGGAAGAGGGAGCCTCTGGGAAGAAGGGGGCTGAGCTGGAGGGAGAGTTAAGGGGCCAGGACTGTACTGGAGTCTTTTCTCCGGGTGTTAACAAGGAGCTGCATCCCTCGGTCCATGCTTCAGTGTCCTTTGGAAAGTCTGTGCGTGGGGCACACCCTACTTGCGTGGGGCACACCCTACTTGCGTGGGGCACACCCTACTTCCTGTGCCCTCTCGCTCCACCGATGGCTACCACTTCCTCTTTACAATGTTTTGCCTCCTGCCCAGCCCCACCCCTTACCTGCCACCATGCCTGCGATGGCAGAAGAGGCATAGCTGCCCTGTCCACTGGTGGGGATGTGGGGTGGGTATCCAGGCAGCGTGGGGCCCACCATCTCTCGCCCTGAAAAAATACAGCAAAGCATTATCAGGCGGGCCACTGTGGGCTCCTGTACTTACTGTCTTGCTCCCCGGAGGCTCCACAAGCCTGCCCTCTTCCACTCCCACTCTCTCCCAAGCCATTCTCTGGACCCGCTTCCTCCCTCCCCTCTCCTTCTCTGAGCCCAAGCTCCTCCCTACTCAGTGGGCCTTCACCAGGCCACGGGGCTCCACCATGTAGGGGAGGCCTGGCTATTACAGGCCTCTATTATTCCCTATCCTCCAATGATTTTATTTACAAGAATCTTAGTCATCCATAATGATGTCGTGGTATTGGAGGTAGGCTGGGGGCTATGTCTTCCAGGTCTTTGTGGTCCCCTGTGGCATTCACATAGCAGCCAGCACAGTGGGCTGTAATAAACACATTAGAGGCCACTGGACTTAGAGCTCACACCCTTTCAGCCCCAGCTCTCAGGAGAACCAAGGACAAGGCCCTGTGAAGGGATGGCAAAGGGGCGGCCCGCTGGCCCATCACTGTCCTTTTCTGGACCTGTGGCAGACATTGCCACTCAATCACCACACTCTTTGCCTCTGAGCCAGAATGGGGCTTCTGCTCCTCAACCTGGCCTTAAGGGTGGATATAACCTATCAGAGCTGCAAGGGACATGAAACATGTTGCCTATTCCTGACCTGGAAAGGAGATGTGGGTTGACAGGCAGTGTTTACACAAGCCTGTGAACCACTGACATCTATCCATGCCATTCCTGAAAAGAACTATTTTCCGCAAAACAGACAAGTATCCCTGTCTTTGTTTATCTATAATTTGTGGGAAATATTCTGGCCTTGGTGACACGGAGGATGCTCTGTGAAGTTCTGATGTCCTGGCTCTGCCTCTCCTCTCCATCAGGTAGTCAAGCCATCCCATTCTGGAGACCCCATTTAACCTGGTGATTTCTCTCCATCCACATCATGTACAACAACCACAATCCTCCTCCCACCCATGTCCCTTCTTTCATGGCCCCCTGTCTGGCAGACCCACAAGATCCTCCCTCGCCCGAGGATTCTTGACCAGGTGACAAGACATCCCAATCTGACTAGATATGAATACTGTGCCAGCGTATTTACAAAGAACACACATTTCACTCTCTTCCCTCTCAAAACACCCCCGTTTGATGATGAAATTATCTGGTTGTCTGAGTTCTTGGTGATGTTTACGAGGTAGGAGGTTTCCCAACCTCATCCCCGTTGACACTTGCGGCCAGATAATTTTCCGTGGCAGGGGGTTGCAGGGGAGGCTTCCTTGTGCATTACAGGATGTTGGACAGTATCCCTGGGGTCTACCCTCTAGATGCCAGAAACAGTTCCCACGCAGTGCGACAACATGGAATGTCTCTAGATATTGTCACATGACCCAGGGTGGCAAAGTCCCCTCTGAATGAGAATCACTGGATTAGATTATCACCATTTTACCAAAATGCCTTTACCTCTTTCCACACTGGGGACTGCCTTTTCTCCTACGACTCACATGGATTCCCTGTGAGCTTCTGTCAACCAGGTTACCAAGTCTACCCCACCATGACACTGTTTTCCCTCCATCAGTCCCCCACCCCCACCCCTGGGGTCCTTCTTGTGTCAGGCCCTCTGGGGGTGCCTAGCAACAGTGGAAGAAAAGGTACCTCTCCGGGAACCCTGTAAGTTGTCAATACAACAGTAACTGCCTCCTTACCTCTATTTCTAGAGATTCCTTGAAGACAATCCATTCATTTGACAAATATTAATTAATCCTGATATCCTGGGCACTTTAAGAAGCACTTGGGGATACAGCAGTAAGCAAGAATGTAAATTAGCAAAGCTAGGCGCTAAGTCACTGGAGGATAGACTGGGAGGGCTACTGGAGCCAAGTCCAGGGGACTCAACAGACAAGACCAGGCCTCCGGGACTTCCACCCTTCCTCTAGAGGGAAGGGTCCAGAAATCAGAGGACTTCAGTCCTCATTCTGCTTCTACAACGAATTTTCCAAGTGTCCTTAGACCAGCCACCAACATGCCCCAAGCCTCAGCTTCTTCAAGTGTAAAATGGGAAAAATAAATAAATAAATAAATGAGAGTAGCCATACACACCTTATTACTATCACCATCATGTTATCAGCATCATTCAGAGTTGAAGTTTCATGTCACAGGTGCACACTGATTCATGCAATGGACACATTCTATAAATTATTACATGCCAAGGGAAACTTTACAGAATAAATCCTATTGGAAAGAGCTATCGGTGTTCATGGTTCAAAGCTGTGTGAATGTTTTGGTAAAAAATAAACACCACCCCCTAAGTTCCTAATTTGTTTTGAGCATACTGTCTGGCAGTGGTTGGTGCTGGACCAAATAGAGTGGAACCCACTGGAATTTGACAAATGCGTTCAGTTCACTTGACACAGGCCTGAACAAATGAGGGCTTGGCAACACAGGTGAGAGAAGGGGAACTTCAGTATAATGAGAAGGAGAAGGGGACACAGGTAGAAAATTGGATCTTTCTTCGAAAAAGACTGCAATACGATCAGCTCTCAGACTCAGCCCCTTTGACCCTTGGATGAAGCCCCTGGTACCACAGCCCACAAGAGGCAAGGAGTGGCATGAAGTCTATGTGGGCAGATCGAGGACAGAGGGTGGATGTGACATGAGTAGGAGAGTGATGAAAGAGGGAGATAGCTAATTCAGGCTTGAAGCCTTTTCCCTTTCCTCTTCCCTCCCTACTTCCGAGAGATGGACAGACAGACATCTAAGTCTAGATTGTGGCCAGGGAGGACAGTATTTAATTTCCCTGACCAGCATCTTCTCATCTCTCTTATGAAGAGCTCAGTTAGATGAGAGATTGTACACTGGGTTCACCTAAATTAATACTTGATTGATTGGTAGGGGGCTTCCTGTTGCACTGTGTTGAGAAGGATTCTGAGGCTGCATCTATGTCTGCTACGACTGGGGCTGGGGATAAGTATGGGCTCTCAGACCACTATTCGCTATTATTGGCCTAGGTACTCTCTGGGGCTCCCTGTGGTCTCACATTTCCCCTTCTCATGTCACTCTCATCTTGCCCTTTTCTTTCCATTACCAGGTCCTGCTGCTTCTTAAGCTCCACAGCTCAGGGGGCCAGAGCACCAGGACACAAGCTCTCCTTAAGTCACAATTTAATTCAGTCACAGTTGTCCCCCTCAGTGCCATCCCATGAGAACTAGCCCCTAAAATGCTCTTGGAAATTGAATTTCATCAGCTTTACTCCCTTGTATTCTGCGATTTTTAATCTTCATTTCTTCTCTGTCGCCTAAATTTCTCTCAGTGGGACAGAGGTATCTGAGTCAGATGCTGGAGCGTCAACTCCTGGAGGCTTCCTCCCCTGAAACTTGGCCCCCTTGAAAAGCTGGCTGAGACTGTCTTCAGGACACCCTTCACCCTCAACTTTTCCATTAGTCCCCAGGAAAGAGTGAAAGTGTTAGTGGCTCAGTTGTGTCCGACTCTTTGTGACGCCATGGACTGTAGCCCGCCAGGCTCCTCTGTCCATGGGATTTTCCAGGCAAGAATGCTGGAGAGGGTTGCCATTCCCTTCTCCTGGGGATCTTTCCAACCCAGGGATTGAACCTGTGTCTCCTGCACTGCAGGCGGATTCTTTACCATTAGTGCTACCTGGGAAGCCCCAGGACTCTGCTTCAATTCCTTAAATATTCGGTTTCTTCCCCCAAAGCCAAGAACTTTACAACCTTCTTAGAAATGAAACTACAGAAGCCATAAGGTGGAGGCATGCTTTCACAGCCTATTTTCTGGACTTAATTGATTTTTAAGGCTCTTCACCATAAGTTTATCTTTGGTTTGTAATTCCGTCTCTTCTGCACTCAAATATATTTGCAAAATAGTTCTATTTCTAAGAAGCTGATGTAGGACTTCCCTGGTGGTCCAGTGGATAAGAATTTACCTGCCAATACAGGGGACATGAGTTCAATCCCTGGTCTGGGAAGATTCCACATACCTTGGAGCAACTAAGCATGTGCATCACAACTACTGAGCCTATGTTCTAGGGCCAGGAAGCTGCAGCTACTGAAGCCTGTGTGCCTACAGCTCCACAACAAGAGAAGCCACCGCAGTGAGACGCCTGCACGTCACAACTAGACAGATCTCTCCCAACTAGAGAGATCACAGGCACAGTAACAAAGACCCCGCACAGCCACATAAAATAAATAAATTATATATACACATATATACATATACATATGAAAAGAAGCTGATGTAGACAAAGCTGGATATTAAATGCCTGGGAAGTCAGATTCCGCAAGAAAACACTAGCACCACAGAAATGTTGGTAAATATCCCACGTATCGGTAGAGACCAGCATCAGAAAACCAGGACTTGGGGGAATTCTGAGGGTAGAGGTGATTTCAGACCATTTATCGGCTCCTTTGATGTCCGCCCTCTATGTGACCTCTTTTCAACTCCTTATCTTGCTCTGATAGCAAGGAGAATTTATGGCAATTCAGAAATCTCTTTGGCAGGATTAAATATAATTTTGCACAGAAGGACGGAGGCGGGTAACGGACTCTTTGATGATAAAGCCAAAGTCAGGGCTTCCTCAACAGCTGAGCTGGAGTCAGCTGGGGAACAGACAGGACAAGGACAGCATCAATATTGCTCCCGGTCAGTGCACTGGGACCCTAGACTGGGGCATCTGAAAGGAGCATTTAGGGGCAATCCTCCTGTCTCCCAAACCCTGAGATTTCTTCTTTCTCGGCTGATTAGGGAGAAGCTGAGACCCAGAAAAAGCCATCCTGGACATCGCATTAGCAGAGAGGCTGGGCTGGGGAGAACTTGACCTGGTGGGGACTCTGAGGCAGGCAAAGACCTGGTGGGAGGTGGTAGGCAGGGTCCAGTCCATAGGTAGCTACTCAGAGGAGGAGAGCTGGGGAGGGCGTTCAGGTAGGCGATGATTATGGAATGAAAATTTACCTAGTCCTTCATCCTCTCCCCTGTCTGCAGCATCATTACCTTGCATTAATTTGGTCTCGGCTTTCTTTTTTATTCTTCCAAATCAATCTCTTGCTACTTTGCATAGGTTTCCAGCCCACAGACTCTTGATATCATTCGCTTCCTTTTTTTTTGGCCATGGTGCTCATGGTTTATGGGGTCTTAGTTTCCTGACCAGGGATTGAGCCTGGGCCCACAGCAGTGAAATCGCGGAGTCTTAATCACTGGATCTTCAAGGAAGTGCCAAATTATTCCCTTCCTAATCTGGTTTCTTCCTACCCAGTCTCCCCAGTCTGCTCACTCTGGCTCAGCCACGTGGTAGGCATTTAGGTTCAATCTTGATTGGAGGTTGCAAGGGGACAGTCTTTCAGGAGCTCCAGGCCACCACCTAAGCTCAGCATGGACACTAGCCATCCTGAACCCCTGTGCTGAGTCACGGGGCAGGCCCAGTTCTGTGGACTGTGGCCTTGACTTGCTTCCTGCTCTCAGGAACCATCCAGACCAAGCCTCTCCAAGCCTGGGCCCTGCTTGCTCATCCCAGAGCCCCTGCCTCTGTGCTGCCTCCTCCATCCTCAGCCTGGGCTCCACAGCCTTCACGGGGGTCACACCCTGCACATTAGCCTCATCAGGGTCTGTCTCTGGGGCCCCCCCACCTGAATGACCACTGCGTGTCTGCTGCCTGCTGCTTTGCCCCATGCAGGGATGACCTCCCAGTCCTGCATGGACAACGGACACAGGGCATGTCTGTTAAACTAAGAGCTCGTAGAAGCTGGAAGCATCACCCCTGATTTGATCGCATGTTGTCTGGAGGTGCTTGAAGCCCTTAAGGGAAGGGAGAAAGTGGGGGAGGGGTTTGAGAGTAGGGACTCTGCACTGGGCTGTTTCAACCACACTTCACACCAATGCCCAGGTCTGTGCTCTGACATATCTGCTTCCCACTGCCCTGGGTCCTTCTTGTTCCTCTCTGGCTGATCCTGCCCAGCATCTTCACAATTCCCAGGAAGTGAAGAACTGCTCCCCCACACCACACGCTTCACCCACACCATCATCCCTAACCTGCCTCTTCTCAGCCCTCCTGGCCACCACCCATCAGACACACAGGCAGGCAGTGGTGCCCAGTAACTGGGCCCTTCCCCCCCAAACACTGAATTTAAGTCTCGTTGACTCTCCCCCTTCTCTCTCCCATCCTAACCCTGTCCCATTTTCTCTGGCTGACATCACTTCACTCAGCTCACAGACTTTTCTTCTTTAATCACTTTGGTCAAAACAAATGACCCATCTCCGCTGACTTCACCCTCTTTTGAAATTCTGCACTGAGTCAACACTTTCCTCCTTGCTTCAGATCCTTCATCACTGCCTCTCTGCCCACACGCTGGGATTCCTTTATGAACCCTCTACCTCTGTGCCCACCTCCCCTAAGAGGTCCTCCCTCATTAGACATGGGGATGCACAGAGGGGAAAAAAAAAGTCTTAGGTGCCAGACAGACATAAAATGTAGAGACAGTTATAAGGAAGGGTCAATGGACTTGAATAAGATGACCTTGAGGTCCCTCTGGGTGGGCAGAGGTCTGATTCTTATGATGCAGTGATTTTCAATTGCAAGGGCTTTCCCTGGGCAGAGTCCCTACTTCAGACAGAGCAGCTCTTCATTTGTCTGGTCTGGATACCTGGCTTCTGCCAAAACTTTTCCTTTCAAGAGAGTGCTGTGAGACCCGGCAAGCTTGAAAACCACTGGTCCAGAAGGCCTGGCCCACTCCTGGCTTCTTCCCTGGGTCCTGGTTCAATGCCTTGGACCCACTTCTGAAATAGTTTCATCTCTGTGGCCACCTTTCAAATATCTGAAGACTGGTATGGGTCTCTGTTCCCTCCCTCACTCCACCTCTGGCCTTCTCCCTGCCTAGCCAAACACCTCTGACTTTTTCAGCCGCTGCTCAGAGTTTGCCTGGACGGGCCAATATCTTTCTGCCAGGGAGACTCAGCTCTGCTGGGATCTGATCCACAGGGTGCACGCAAGCTGACATGTCACCATGTTCCTATTCAGGGATTTTGGCCGGGTCTTTCTGCCTGGGCCTGTTGCCCACCAGTGTAAGGAAAGATTTAAACTAAATGCCCCTAAGGTGCTTCCAGCCTTGAGTTGGATGAGGGTCTTGATGAAAAGTCCCTGGTTCCCCATCTCTTGGGTTGGTGAGTCACTCTGCCTGAGTGTCCTCCAAGAGAAACACTTAAGCTAGGGACACGAGAGTTACACTATGGGGACCCAATTGGGACTGACCCTCCATCCTTAGAAATTTGATCCAGAATTTGGCCCCCAAAGCCAATGCCTTTCTCCCTCCAGAGTTTTCTTTTTTTCTTCTTTTGCATTTTTTACCCAGACCAAGGGTTTGGGACTTTACTGAGTCTGGCTCCTGGTCTTAAGGTTCTGGCACTGTCATGGGGCTTTGGGGCAAGGTTTTGGAAATCCAGCAGGCTCCCCCACTTTCAAGTACCCCCCAGAGTGCCTGTCCCTCCCACGGCCTGACTCTGCAGGTATGGAGGACCGCATCTTGGCGCCCCCAAAAGTGGCCGGAGGAATGAGGGAAGAGGATGGTGGTGGAGAGGACTCGGGGAGAGAGTAGGGGCTAGACCCAAAGTAGGGAACTGGCGGCCGGCCGTGAGGACTCCCCCTCCCGCCCCCCGCGATGGCTGTACGGCCCGGGACCTCCCTGTCGTACCTGAGAGGAGGGCCTGGCCCGTGAACTGCCCGTACACGGAGGCAGCATGGGGAAAGGCATTGAAGGGCGGGACCGAGGCACCGGCTGGGACCCCGGAGCCGACTTGCTGCAGATCCAAAAAGACGGAGCTAGATAAAGAGGAAGGGGTGGAGCTAGAACTGGACACCTCGGGGGTTTCCTGCTTTATGGCGAAGGGTGAATGAGGATCTGCCGGAGGGAGGGAGACAACAAGGAGAGAGGGGTGTGAGATGATGGGGCGGGAACATGCACAAACCAAGCCATGAGATGCGGGAGGGGCGGGGCGGCGAGGCGCGGGCGGGCTCCTCCCTGAGGCGGGACGGGGGGAGTGGGCGGGGCTACGCGGTGTCACTCAGGTGGGGGGAGGAGGTGAGAGGGCACTTCTGCCTCCTGCCGTGCCTCTGTGAGTATAGACGCAGGTTGCGTGTTCCCCGCGCTGGGGGGCAGGCGGAGAAAGGGCCGAGGATAGAAGGCGAGACCCTCTCGACCCACCTGCTGACCGGCCAGCAGAGTCCCCCTCTCCTCTCCAGGCCCAGGGCCCTAACACCTTCCTCCTCTCCACCAGCCAGCTCTGCCCGCCAGCCGGCCCCCGCATGGCCCAGGAAATTCTGGGCATCGTACCTGCCACCACGGGGTAGGTCTGATGAGTCGAGAGGTTGCGCCCCAAGGGTGTATTGGAGGGGGTCAGGGTGGCCTTCCCGTCGTCCAGGGCGCTGTTGAGCAAGGGCAGCGGGTAAAGACCCTGGGGAACAAGAAGAAGTGAGCGCACAGAGGCTGTGGGCAGCAGGCTCTCCTTTTAAAGACCCGCCCTCATCCCCGCCAGCCGGCTCCCCCTAGAAAATACCCCCTTCCTCTGTCCCCTCTTCCCGCTCAGTCTTGACTCCACTTAGTCTGTTTAATCAGTTCTTATGCTCTGACTCACAGCCCTTCTGTTTTTCTCCCAGTTCTAGGGGCAGAACTCGCCCTCTGGCAGCTCTGTAATTCAAGGCTGGCTGGTGGCAACAGCGCCAGACACAGAAAAGAGTGGGTCCTTCCAAGGACCACGCCCTGGCTGGATGCTGGGCTTCTTCCTGGTTTCCTCACCCTGTCTGGGCCCACAGAGAGCAAGATGCAGGGCTGGGGCAGTTAGCAGGTGGGACTGTTCAGGGTGATCTCCTCCTTTCATTAAAATATTCTCCAGATGGGAAACACAGGCACAGAGCTGGTCCAGACACTTCTCACACTGCCACAGAAGTCACACTCCCCTGGTCTGACTCCAGGACCTATGTTCTCAACCACTGCTCTGTGATGGATAACATCATGACCACATCTTACATATAAAGAGAGCAGGCATTAGACGTTGCCTGTATTATCCTGATCCATTGCTCCCAACAGCCCTGTGATGTGGGCAAGCAATATTATGTCTGAGATGCTGAGAGCCTGAAGACCAGAGAGGTGAATGTCCTAGGTGAGTATGAAATGGAGTCTAAATCGAGGCCATCGGATCCTGACCCCTGCGCTCTCTCCTTCAATAAAAGGACAAACCTGACACCCAAGCAAAATAGGTAGACTTCTCCCCTCTCTCCGTATCCAAGCAAATATAAATGTGCACATTCAGCTTGAAGATGATATTTGTGGTTACTTTTGTTTAAAAATTATTTATCAAGTAACCCCGGGGGTTTTCTTGTGAACCTCATTTTAGACTTCACTGAGCCTCCTCTGACATGAGTGGGCCATCTCCTCCAATGCTTCTTCCAAGAAGAATTTGTTCAATTAAAGGCAAGGATACATCACACCTCATCATGATAGCCTCCCACCAGGCCACAAAACAGCACACATGTGCTGATCACACATGTCACCAATGTGCTCTGTGAACCAGTGTGCAAAAACTGAAATCAAGACTTGTGCTCCGTGGTTATATAACAGCTCTCTAAAGGCAATTGCTTTCAATGATTTGAGCTGGGTTCTCCAAGGAGCCACAGCAGTTTCTGGTTGCATGCCCAGCACTTACGGAAGTTGCAGTCAACTCTGGAGACCACAAGGGCACCATTATCTTATAGCAGCAATTACTGACTAAATGGCACTCTGGTTCTACACCTTCTGAGGGGGGCTTCCTGCTTTTACTCAGAGCCTGGTTTCATGAAATTGAACAAAATGCCTGATTTCTAGAAAGTATAAGAAAAGTTTAAAATGTTTTGTGGACATGTTGATCTGACATAAAATACCTCCTCAATATCCTGGTGGTGTTAGTTACTCAGTCATTTCCAACAGTCTGCGACCCTATGGACTGTAGCTCACCAGGCTCTCTGAGCGTGGAATTCTCCAGGCAAGGATACTGGAGTTGGTTGCCCTTCCCTTCTCCAGGGGTTCTTCCCGACCCGGGGGTTGAACCCAGGTCTCCTGCATTGCAGGCAGATTCTTTGCCATCTGAGCCACCAGGGAGGTGAAAGCTGCTCAGTCGTGTCTGACTCTCTGTGACCCCACGGACTATACAGTCCATGGAATTCTCCAGGTCAGAGTACTGGAGTGAGGAGTCGCTGCTCCCTTCTCCAGGGGATCTTCCCAACCCAGGGACCGAACCCAGGTCTCCCGCATTGCAGGCGGATTCTTTACCAGCTGAGCCACAAGGGAAGCGAGCCACCAGGGAAATCACACCTCAAAATCCTATAGCTCTCCAAAATCTAACAATTTGGTGAAAAACAAACAAACCTATAAATCAGACATTTCAGTTACGTTACTCCAAATGCCTTAAACATCTCAAGGATGATTGGATTTCTTATTGGGTTTGGACTTGAATTGGGGTGCAGAGGGCACAATTCCTCATGACTTGGACAAGTTTGAGCTCTTGTTCTGCAATGACTGGTTTAGTAGCTGTAGTCTCCTTGACCTCTCTGAGCCTTGGTTTTCTCACCTCTGTAACAGGGACAATAGAGCTGCTTTACAAGGCCAATACAAGGATTAAAGGAGATTTTATATACCTACATTAAACACTTAGCACAAAATGCTTAGTAACACACATGTTCAATAAATAGCTATTTTAAAATTACGTGAAGAGTCACAAGCTGCCCAGTTCTTGAGGCTCAGGAATGGTTCTGCACAACCCAGTGGGTCTCAGCAACAAGGTTTCTCTACCAGGATAGTGAGTTGTATTGGGTCCATGTCTCACAGCAGGTTCCTGGCAGATCCACTGCTGTGGCCCCATTCCCCTCCTGCCCAGTCAACCCGGGCCTGGGGAGCCATGTGCTGACTTGTGGCTGATTGCCCTGCCCTCTCCCCAGGTCTGCTGACGGCCAGCCTTCTCTGAAGCCCTCCTGGTTGCCACAGCCCAGGCTGATAAAATCGCTGACGCAGATTGCCTGACCAGCTGCGTTGTTGGCAAGGGCCCAGCCGCCCAGATAGTCACTGGCAGTGGTTCAGCTGGTGACTGGCATCGTCACCATTATGCTGCTCAGATCTTAAAGGTATATGGGCTCGCCTCACTCCTGGCTCAGATGACACCTTGAGCCAAGAGGGGTGAGCAGACACCTGTCTAGAGAAAATCCTCAGTTGATTGATGGTGTTGGGTTGGGGGATGGGGAAGACACTGAGGCTGTGGTGTTGACAGAAGATAATTAACAGAGGTGTAGAGTCATTTTTTGGCTCCTGGAGACACTTTGGTCATCTCTGCCAGTTTTTCGTAGAAGCCAACCCCTGATAAGCCATTTCACCTGTCCTGAACACTGGGAATAAAACTTTGCTTGTAGCTTGCATTTCTCATTTCTCAGGCTGCATTTCTATTACATTTACTCTACCTTTATTGAGCATCTGTTAGAGGGGCACAGTGGGAGATGCTGGAGGTAAAAAAGATGCCTTGAGATGCTGTGCTCAAGAAATGTGCTGTATCTTGACATCTCTGTCCGCCAGGCAGTGACACTACCCCATGAGTTCTGGGGAGCGGCCCCTCCCACCCCAGACATGCAAAAGTCTGGGAGAGTGGAAGTGAAGCGTGTCTGAGGGGCAGGGAAGAATTCATGGACCAGGTGATGCCTGAGCTGAGTCATACTAGCCGAGCAGTACTTTTCCAGGCAGAGAAGTGGGAGGAAGGCATTCATCGAGGAGGGCACACCGTGTGCCGGGGCAGAGAGGTGTGAACGAGAGGAGCGTGAGCATGGCAGGCACAGGGGTGGGGAGGCGTGAGTGGCTCGAGGCGGGGCTGCAGGTGCTGGTGGAGGTCATGCTGTGAAGGCTGGAGCTACGATTTTATTGCTGTAGGACCTGACCCTGCTATCTGGGGGAGACACTGTGGCAGGGGGATGGCACGGTTGGTTGCATTGCTCTAAGCTCAGAGGCTACAGGTGAGGGAAGGCAGGGGGCCGGAAGGATGAGCAGGAAGATGCTGCAAGCATCTGGTGAAATAATGCCATGACAGCCTTGGAGCTGCTGGAAGCACGTGCCCTGAGCCCATCAAGCAACTTCTAGTTGCTTCTAGAATTGCCAGTTGATTAGGGAGCTTTCAGAGACCATGTCTTGCTCTGCCCTCCCCCCGCCCTCCCACCTGTCTGCTCGCCTCCTGTGCCCGGCTGGCCCCTCACCTGCTCGCCTTTGGTGTGGCTGGGGGAGGCGTAGGCCTCCGGGTAGTGCTGCCGATCAAAGGGGCATTCGAGCGACTCGAGGTGGTGCTGGCTGAAGGTGTCCGTGCGGAGGTGTTTGCGGGGCCCGCTGCTGCTGCTCTGGGAGTCAATGCTCAGCCGGCAGCTGTCCTGGTCACCTGGCAAGTGTCCCCCGGCAGGGAGAAAGCTTTCAGGGGGCTTGCCGACCCATCGCCCAGGCCAGAGTGGGGAAGCAGACTCACTTGGGAAGAGGGAAGAGCGAGACTTCCGGGTGGCTTAGAGACAACCCACAAAGTCCTGGGCCCAAGGGGGTCTCTGTCTCATCAGCAGCAGTAGTATTAGTCACTCAGTCATGTCTGACTCTTTGTGACCCCAAGGACTGTAGCCCACCAGGCTCCTCTGTTCATGGGATTTTCCAAGCAAAAACAATGAAGTGGGTAGCTACGCCCTCCTCCAGGGGATCTTCCTGACCCAGGGATCAAACCCGTGTCTCCTGCATTGCAGGTGGATTTTTTTACCACCTGAGCCACAAGAGAAGCCCTGTCTGAGCAGCTGCCCTCCTGCACCCCCAACCTACCCTCTGGTCCCCCCAACACTCACTGTCATCCATCTTCCTCTTGCTGTCGCTGCCAGGCTGGGCGATCCCCAGGAGCCCATTGATGGAGTAAGTAGAACCCAGAGAGTCCGACTGCGGAGATTCTGGGGGCGTCACAGCTGAGCTGGGGACTGAAGTGGGGCAAGACAGAGGGTCAGGATGTGGGCCTGACACCCCTCAGAGCCCCTGCCACCACCGCAGAGGAGTCAGGGGCCCTGCCTACTGGTGCCCGGGTTCTAGCCTGTGTTGTTTCCAGCCCTAAACATTTCAGAAAATCTTCCCTGGGATTCCAGCCAGGTTTGGGCTCAGTTTGAACACACGGGTGTGTCTGCGTAGACAGGTTTGTGTGCGACTCTGTGCGTGTACATGGATGGGAGTGTGTATGCAAGGGGCTGAGTGTGACTGTGGGACCCTCGGCACTCACTCAGCGTGTGTCCTGGGCTCAGGGACTTGGTGGCCACGCAGCTGTCCATGGGAAGGTTGAATGGCTGCTGCACTTTAGTCCGGATGATTCTGTAAGGAAGAGAAGAAAGGCCCTTATAGCAGAAGGAGACAGGGCTTCTGGCTGCCCCAGCTCCATCCACCTTTTTGAGATCCCACTTGAGTATCTATAGACACCTCAAACTCAGCCCATTGTTCTTTTAGTGGCTAAATTGCATCCAACTCTTTGCAACCCCGTGGACTATAGCCCACCAGGCTCCTCTGTCCATGGGATTTTCCAAGCAAGAATACTACAGTGAGTTGCCATTTCCTCCTCCAGGGGACCTTCCTGACGCAGAGATTGAACTTGAGTCTCCTGCATCGCAGGCGGATTCTTTACCCACTGAGCCATCCAGGAAGTCGCAAACTCAACCTGTCCACACTCAAACCCACGACATTACTCCTCAAGCCTGGTCCTTCCCACTGTTCCCGTTCCACGATTAGCCCACCGGTCACTCAAGGCAGAAGTACAGGTGGGGCTCAATATCTGCCTCCCTCCCTCCTCCATTGAGCCGTCATCAGGTTCAGTAGATTTGACCTCGTAACTCTCTTCAACATTGACCCCTTTCTGTATCTCACTGCCACCACTAAACTCTACCTCCAGGGTCACTCACTGGCCCACTCCTATCTGCTCTTGACCCTTTCTAATCTTTTCTTTCTATTGCAGCCAGACTGGACTTTCTGAAATGCAAGTCAGTCTCATGGCTAACATCTCATGCTAAGGTTCTTGCCACTGCTTATAGGTGAGAGGTACACAGCATTATCACCGGCCTCTGAGGGGCAAACAGCCTTTATTCACATCTCCACCTCAGTCTACCTTGTTCTCTCCCCTTCCCTTTACCTACTGGCTTTCTTTTCAGCTTTTCTTTTCTTTTGGCCATGCTATGCGGCTTGTGGGATCTTAGTTTCCCAACCAGGGATCAAACTCAGGCCCTTAGAAGTGAAAGTGCAGAGTCTTAACCACTGGACTGCCAGGGACTTCCCTCTTTCAACTTCTTGTATAAGACCTTATTAGCCACAGGGCCCTTGCACATGCTATCTCAAGCTCCTTTCACTCCCCCTTTCACCTAGGTAACTCTTATTTGTTATTTCTTACTTGGGACATCTTTTCATAACCTCCCTAAACCAAGCCACCTGACAACAGCTCAATACCCTCATATTTTTCTCCTTAGCTAGACTGAGAACTGCATTTTTACCGTTGTTTGTGTGGACATCAATTAGGACTTGATTAGTGTCTGTTTTCCCACTGGACTGTAAGTGCCACACAGACAAGACTTGAGCATCCTCGGGGCGTACACGTGTGCTAAGTCATTTCAGTCGTGTCCAACTCTTTGCAACCTGATGGACTGTATGTTCCTCTGTCCACGGGAGTTCCAAGCAAGAATACTGGAGTGGGTTGCCATTTCCTACTCCAGCCTTAGGGCCTACATATAACTAAATTATGTGTGAATGAATGAGTGAGTGAATAACTTACTGAGGTGGTGACTGAATGACTGAATGACTAAACAAATGAGTGGATGCTTGAATGAGGTCCAGGTTAGGGGTCTTGTGTCTCATGCAGGAAAGGCTTGATTCAAGAAGAAGTTTCTTTTATTGAATGAAAGAGGATGTGCTATGTGGGGAAGAAAACTACAGAGAGTACAGCCCTGGGGAGGGGGATAGGTTGAGGTGGGAGTGGGGATGCTACAGAGGTGTGGTACCTACCCTGGGCCCAGGGCACTTCCAGCCTGACTTTTCAGCATGCAGCCCCCTCCCAGGCTCTGTTCCACTCAAGTCGGGTCTCCATCATGAGTCCCCCAAAGCCCAGGTGCCCCAGTCCCCGGCTGCGGTGTCCCTCTCACCTGTTAATGGAGCTGACACTGGGCACAGTGTCGTTGTCACAGACACCCTCAGCCAGGAGCCGGTCTCGGATCTCCCAGGCGAACATGGTTGGGTTCTGCCGCTTGTAGTCCCCGATCTTCTCCACCACCTTGGGGGTGGCCACCTTAGGCTTTGAGCCCCCTATCACTCCAGGCCTGATGCTGCCAGTCTCGTAGTACCTACTCCAATAGAGAACCCCAAAGAAGTACCCAGTAAGCGGGTGGGGATCTTTGGGCAGCAAATTAGCCAGAGATTCTCGTTCCCCTCTGAGGCTTCTTGGGGAAGGGCCTGAGGGGGTGAACGGTGACCCCCAAGGCTGGTCTCTGACACCATGTTCCTGTCACTGCCTGGTTCCCTTGCATGGGTAGGTTTATGCTGCTGCTGAACCAGAACATTCTTCAAAAGGCCTCACTCTGGGGATGCCTGGTTTCTCTCTTTCCAGTCATCCCTCTGGCCAATCTCCTGCATCTGAACACCTTCAGGAAACACCTTATGCAGCACAAGAGATCTCCCTTCTAAGAAAGGACATTTTGAGCGTGCTCTGTGTGTATAAACAGGCTCAAGGTGGTGGCCATTTGCTCCATCCAGTTTTTCTTGGCTGAAGCATGACTGACTGTTCTTGACCATCTTGTTTCTACCCCTCCTTCCCCAGAAAGCCAGCTGGGGTCAATGGGCCCTCTGCCCTGACTTTCCGGTTTCACCTTTGTTCTCCATAAAACCCCTCCAACCCCCCTCCACCCCACCCCACAGCCCCGGCCACTGGTTTTCCACCAGGTTACATGGTTCAGGTTGAAGCTGGTCCTCATGGACTCTGGAACGCCAGCCTGGCTTGGAGCCCTGGCCATGTCCAGCTCCCTAAGCCAAGCCAGCTCTCTCGGGGTCTCCCCACCCCCCATTTCCCATCCCCCAACCAGCTGCTTAGGCAGATCAGTGACCTATGTCAGGATAGCCTACCTCTCCTCCTTGGGGAAACTCTGGTCTCTTCTGCCATGAAAGAAAACCTGGCTCTTTAATACTCCCTTATGGGTATCACCATCCACTAGCACTCAGCCCCTCTTGGGGTGCTGCAACCCACCTGAGAAACCCCTCTCCTGACCCCAGGAGACCTGGGGACAACAATTTTCCTTGATGACTTCCACCAGGGAGGCAGGACTTCCCACGTCCAATTACAGGCCTTGATCTCTTTGAACCAGAAATCCTCCTGAATCTCACTTATGGGTTGGGTACGGGAGATACTGAACTGACACAAAGCCCAGAAAACCCTGCGCATGGGCACTTCCACTGGAAGTGGTCTTGTAGGCTGGACTACCCTTTGCTGCTCCTGGTCCCTCCTGAACCTTTAGGTTAATGGTTCTTAACTCTGGCTGCAGAAAATTAGAATCTTAGGGCTTAACACTATACCCAAACTTGGGCTCATTCCCCTAAAGTTCTGCCTTAACTGGTATGGGCTGGGGCTTAAGACATCCATTTCTTTTCTAAATTAAGATGCCCCAGATGACTCTACTGTGCGGCCAGGGTCGTGAACTGCTGCTCCAGAGTTAGCGTTCATAAGCGTCACCTGGTCATCTCATAAAAATCACGGTGTCCAGATCTGGCTCCCAGAGAGGGTGCTGCCATGGGCCTGGTCTGAGGCTTAGGATCTGCATTTCATCAAAATACTGCAGTGCTTCTATTGCAAGAGCTCTGAGAGTTACAGTTTGAGAAGCACAAACTCAGACACCCCTCATGCTGGAGCAAGACCTCAGGAGCCACCTCTGATTGTGTGTCCCATCCCCCTCATTGCTGTTGAGTCGCTCAGTCATGTCTGACTCTGCAACTCCAAGGACTGCAGCATGCCAGGCTTCCCTGTCCTTCACCACCTCTCAGAGTTTGCCCAAACTTATGTCCATCCCTTGGTCTCAGCAGAGGGAAAGCCTTTGGGGAAGATTCTTCTGCCTTAGGAACAAAGAAGCCTGTAGAAAACGGGACGTGGGGCAGAGGAGACCATGGGGGAGGGAGAAAGGAAAGGAAGGAGAAATGGACGAGGGAGGAAGGAAGAGCAGGAAACCACACAGATGAGCAGCAGATGGGCGAGGCCCGGAAGCCCTACCACATCCTGTTCAGGTCCTAGGACCCAGGCCGGACAACGGAGTGGACCTGAGTCCCTGGGAGGGAAGGGGGTGGGGGTGAATTTTGTGCTTACCTGCCAAGGATCTTGCTGACACAGCCATGGCTGACACGGAGCTGGCGGGAGATGTCGCAAGGCCTCACGCCCTGGTGGGCTAGGTCCACGATGCGCTGACGCACCACTTCAGGCAGGGGTCTGCCATTCACAAAGGCCCCTCCCAGCTGGTTCAGCCCTCCGTGGCCTGAAAGACAGTAATCCGGGAGGACTGCTGTCAGGGCCACCAGGCAGAGAATCAGCTGGCATGTGGGCCTTGGCTGTTGAGAGCCCCTAAACATGAGCTTTGTTGGTCACACCCCCTGGGGCTCCTCCTGTACCCCTCTGCTTCCTGCCTCTGAGGGGGGCTAGCTCAGGGTGGCAGGGGCAGGGATGTATGATGCCACAGAGGGGCACATTCCACTCTGGGGACCTTTTGTGTCTGCTCAGTATCCTCTCATGGGCTTCCCAGAGGGCTCAGCAGATAAAGAATCCACCTGCAATGAGGAGACACAGGAGATGCAGGTTCAATCCCTGGATCAGGAAGATCCCTGGAAGAGGAAATGGCAAACCCCTCCAGTATTCTTGCCTGGAGAATTCCATGGACAGAGGAGCCTGGCAGGCTACAGTCCACAGGGTTGCAGAGTCAGACATGACAGAGTACACACACACAGTCTCCTCTCAGACCCTCAGCACCTCACTCCAAATAACAATCCCACCACCTCCCTCTACCCTCTGGAAAGTATCTAAGGAGTTGAGGATTCAGGGTCTGTCTTCCTACTCTGACACTGAACTGTGTGATCTTGGGGAAGTCTCCATGTCCTCTCTGCGTCTCTGTTCATCTCTAAAATGAGGGCATGGGATGAAGAAATCAATGGTATTTAAGTTTCTCGTTCTCATTCTTCTTTTGAATTATAGAACTAGATTTTTTAAGTACAAAGACAATGAGAAACCCAGACTCAAAAGAATAAAAGCAGAGTTTCTCTGGTTGAGCTAGGACAGAGCAGGCCTTGTCCTTGGGCTCCCAGCTTGAGCTCTGTTCAGAGCACTGAGAGGCAGGCAGACCTCACTGGCCCATGCTCTGGGGCTTCCAGGACTGATGTGCCAGGCAGTGGGCAGTGGTGCAGAACATGGACACACCGTGATGTGCGCCTGTCTCCTTAGCTGCCTTCCTGACTTGGCCTCTACCCTCCAGCCCCAGCCTTTATTTCATTCTGAGCCCATCTACTATTCTCAATGCATATTTATTGAGTACCTACTACGTGGCAGGCACTGTACCAGGCCCTCCCAATGTTGAGTTGGATAAGGTAGATGTGATTCCTGTACTTGCCCCATGGGGTTCAAGTGAAGAGTCAGTCAGACTAGCTGGTGGCCGCATGGCATGGCCACATCTGGGACACCTGCAGTGGACCTGAGCCAGCAGTGGGACTTGGACATGAAAGGGGTTGTGGGAACCCCTGGAGGGGACCAAGCCCAGGGTCAGGGGGCCAGAGAAAGTTTCCTGCTGTTGGTATTGGTTTAGTTGCTAAGTCGTGTCCGACTCTTACGACCCCATGGACTATAGCCTGCCAGGATCCTCTGACCATGGGACTCTCCAGGGGTTCTTCCTGACCCAGGAATCAAACCCAGTTCTCCTGCATTGCAGGCAGATTCTTTACCGACTGAGCTATAAGGGAAGCCCTAGAAGAGTTCCTGGAGAAGTCTAAACTGAGGCTGAAGATAAAGAGGTGTCAGACTAGAGAAGGAGATGAGGAAGAAAACTGTTCCAGGCAGTGGGAACAGCAAGTGAAAAGGCTTATAGGTAAGAAGGCATCTGTTAGATTTATCAACATATTCAGTTCTCTAAAATCCCTAGATTCGGGGGGGGGGGGGTGGCGAGCTTAAGGCCTGAGGTCTTCCTTTGGCCAACGAAGAGACCAGGGCTTAGAGAGTCACAGTGAACATTCATGTGACTCATGTGACTCAGCCTGCGTGATGGGGGGTCAAGATCTAACCAGGAACAAATGCTCCTGTTGGGGCTGCTGGGAGAGCCCTGTTCTATGGCCAGAACAGATCCTGGAAACTTGGCCTCGGCCCTACAGTCCCACACTCGAGATGCCATGGTCCCGGCATGATGATTTGGTGATCTGGCTAGGATGGCAGAGCCCCGGGGTGGGAGTCAGGGGGAATAGGCGGACGGGCGAGGAGGAGGAGCCATTGCCAGGCCTCCTGTGTCAGCCCGTTAAGGACTATTTACGGCTGAGGGCTGGACGTGCCTCTCCTAGGCACACTGTGCTCATTACCACCCACTGACTTAGCACATTCAGAACTGCCTTGCAATGACCCCTCGGGGGCTCAAGCTGTCTTCAGCAGAGCGGTCAATGTCTGTTTTTTTTTTTTAAGAGGCTACAAGTGCCTCTGGCCTGGGCACTGAGTCAGGAGGAAAAGCCCACTAGCCAAACACCTGGCAGGAAGGACGCTACGATCCATCTCCCTAAGTGGAGGCCACTGGGTGACCTTGAGCACTGCTTCCACCTGTCCAGTTCTAGGCAATTTGCCCTGGCCAGTGTGTTTCCACCAGGGCTGGGAAGATATCCCAGGTGCTCAGCAGAGGGGCCTGAGCCCGCTTTGGAGAGGGCTGACTTCTCATTAGCCACAGGCAGTCCTGGAGAGTGGCTCAGCCTTTCCACCCTCACGCCATTCCTGCTGCTTTTGGCTCTTCTGGGTCCAGACACTGAACACAAGGGGGCACCAGAGAGCCACCCAAAGGGATAAGACCTTGAGCAGCTCATCTTTGTCCCCATTTTCCAGAACTTAAGACTGCCAAGGTGTTCATGCTAGGCCCACTACATCTGAAAGCTAGGGTTCCTACAGGTAGAAGTCTTCACCCCTAGAAAGGCAACTGGTTAAAAAAAAAACAAAGGCTATTTTTTTTTTTTGTAGCATGAATTGGGAATTGTGCCTTAAAAAACAAACCTATCCTGTTTCTCCATTGAAGCTGTGGGGGGGGGGTCACTGTCCTAAATCTTCCTGAAGGACTTGCTGATAGGTATCCTTAGAGACTCAAATTCTCCGGAACCCTCCGCAAGGGTTATTTACTAGATCAGCTGGCATCGGTGTGAAAGGGAAGATGTACTCATACCACGGGCTCCTAAACTGTGAAGTCCCTGGTGACATTTCATTTTATTGACTTCTGAGTTCTTTATATTACCTAGCCAAGGGTGTTGGGCTAGATTCCTGTGTTGACTCTGCCTATTTTAATTTCTTTTTTCAATAGTTTCTTTTATTCTGTAAACTTGCTTAAATTCTTTAAAAAAATTCTTTAAATTTCCTTCTGAAGAGTAGTTTCTTTTCCCCCCAAGGCTTATTATTATTAATTTGTTTATCCCTCCATGTATATAGTATTTTACCATGTAGTCATTTTTTTAAATAGTAGGTCCTGGTTTGTTACCTATTTTATTTATTTATTTTTTTGGCCACACCGCATGGTACATGGAATCTTAGCTCCCCAGCTAGGAATCAAACCCACACCCCCTTCACTGGGAGCACAGAGTCTTAGCCACTGGCGTACCAGAGAAGTCCCTGGTTTTCTATTTTAAATATAGCAGTGTGTACAAGTCAATCCTAAACTCCCAATCTATTCCTACCCCCTTTCCCCTCTTGGTAACCATAAGTTTATTCTCTAAGTCTGTGAATCTGTATTTGCTTTGTAAATAAGTTATTTGTATCAATTCTTTAGATTGTGAATATAAGCAATATCATATGATATTGTCTTTCTCGCCATATATTTTTTATACATTTTTTAAGGGTTACGCTCCATTTACTGCCGGTTTTAATTTTATGAGTTGAGAAAGTTGGGGGTTTTTTCAAGCATATTGTTTCTATCCATTTATTAAGAGCTAAACAAAACATCCTGCAGTGTCTGATGCTGACCTCAGGTGATGGCTGATAAAGAAAATTTCAGAGAAAAACTTAACTGCATGTAGACCCCCCACCTCAGCCCTATCTTCTTAGAATAATGATTTTTATTGTTTGTATATTACAGTTTTCATCTCTTTTGATCTCAACACATATATGCCAAGTGGGTGTATGCTTAGTCTTGAAGTCCTATCTGACTCTTTGTGACACCGTGGATTGTAACCCACCAGACTCCTCTGTCCATGGAATTCTCCAGGCAAGAATACTGGAGTGGGTTGCCATTTCCTCCTCCAGGGAATCTTCCCGACCCAGGGATGGAAACTGCGTCCCCTATGTCTCCTGCATTGGCAGGTGAATTCTTTACCCACTGAGCCACCCGGGAAGCCCATATATACCAAGTACTGAGTATATATCAGAGCACTGGGAAAGTCACCTTGAACAAGACAGGAAAGCTGGCCCTTGAGGAACATAAAATCTTTGGAGAGATGCAGTCAGATAAATTGAACTCCCCTGGTGGCTCAGACGATAAAGAATCTGCCTGCAGTGCAGGAGACCTGAGTTCAATCCCTGGGTAGGGAAGATCCCCTGGAGAAGGGAATGGCTAGCCACTCCAGTACTCTTGCCTGCAGAATCCCATGGACAGAGGAGCCTGCTGGCTACAGTCCATGGGGTGGTAAAGAGTCAGACACAACTGAGCGACTTAACACACACACAATCAGATAAACTGGGAATCATCATGTTAAGAGAAAGGTTTTTAGGAAGAGGTAAGTCAGATGCCAGAGCAGCCCATAAGTGGTCAGAGGGAAGCTGTAGGGCATAATGACTAGGAGGTAACCAGGAGAAGAAGCTTCCACAGGAAGAAAACCCACACACAAGGCTTTGGTGCTCTCAAGACATGGAAAGACATTTACTGTGGCTGTCAGAGAGGCAGGGTAGAGGGTGTGGAAAGAGCGTGCTGGCTGCAGATGGAGATGGGCCCTATGGTTTGAGGTTTGGAGCCGAGTCCTGGTCACCCAAAGTCTTTTGTCCCTCCTGTGTCCGGTGTGGAGGAGTGGACGCCTTTGGGCGAGTCACCACCAGACTAGCAGCCTAGAGGTGGGCGCATCCTTCCTTCCTGCCCCAGGGCTACCCACCATGCTGACCACCTGTCCATGTGGCTGTGGACCAGGTGGGCTCTCAGGCCGGAAGCCAGGAATGAGTAGGAGCCCCTAGTTGGGCACGGGTGGGAGGTGGGGAAGGTGTGACCCAGGAAGAGGTTTGAGGCTTCCTGAACAAAGGCCCTTTGTTGGTCTGGAGGTCGTGGGGGTGGAG